TTTTTCTGTTATATGATTGTTTGCCAAGAGATTTTCAAATTGCAGGTTGTTGCGAGAGATTCTTGGATAGTTGAGTTCAATGAATCGAACTGGATTCTGTCGAACTTCAATCTTGAAAATGAAAAGAAATGAATCGAGCTGCGTTCTGTCGAACTTCAATCTTGAAAATGAAAAGAACACCTTGTCAAACTTCAATCTTGAAAATGGAAAAAACACCAGCAAATCTTGAAAGTGAAAAAAACACCGGAAAGAATAGAAACAGTAACCGATGGCCAAAGGAGCAATTGGTAGTGGTGATGTGGGACCCATTGGATGGATTTGGTGTGTTTTTACCAGGTAGCATGTGACATGACAAAAGTTGCATGCATGTCATCACTTTTTTAAGTTTTGCTTTCCACGTCATCAAAAAAAATATAAAAAATGCCACCTCAGCAGGGTTAACGGCTAAAATTAACAGAAGGACTAACGGAGTGCATTTCGTATAGTTGAGGGATCAAAAAAGTGCAAAAAATTGTTGAGGGATCAAAAATGTTCATTTCTTAAAGTTGAGGGACCAAATTAAGCATTTAACCTTCTTTTATTAAGATATTTAATTTAAAAAGCCCATGGGCCATGACCCATTTCATTTCCATTTTTCTTTTAGGCTTTTTTAGTCCATAACACATATTTATTAGGTCGAGTCAACCCGACCCACAAACACGACCCATATACCTGAACGGGTAAAAATAGATCAGAACCTAGATTAAGATTCGGAACTTGGGGTTTATACTACTGGTCCAGATTTTACCCCAAAAAACATTAAATAATTTCATCAATCCATTACTAGCTCTATGACCTCAACAAAACAGAATAAAAAAAGGCAAGAAAACATGCTCGATTCTCATTCACAATGACATAAATTGATATAGATCCATCCAAGCAACCCACGAAATACAGAGAAAAGATCAAAATCACTGGCGGAGTTTGGAGGGGAAGATCAGATTCCGATCTGGGATACCCCACCCACGGGATAATCCCCAAATCCTTTCTCCTCACTACCTCTTCATGATTCCTCCATTCCTCACTACCTCTCCATGATTCCTCTGCCCTCGAGTAGATCTTACTCGCACGACACGCGCCGGGGAGGCATCCTCTTGGATATCAGATCCGCCCTTCATGTCATCATTTTTCAGTGCCTCGGTTCTCCGGGATAAATTTTTGGAAGTTCAGCGCGGCTGTAGGTCAAGAGAAGATTTTGCGATCCCACGCATGAGAGTTGCTCGCAGACCGTTCTCTTGGTCATTCACATGACGACCAAGATCTAGAACTTCCAATGAATAGAGAGTAACAAGATAAAAAATAGTTATATCTTGTATGCAACTAAAAATTAATCAA